GTCTCTCTATGAAGGCAACCAAATCGTTGTTGTCGGAAGGGTCATTTTGGTCAACCCACCTTCACAGGCAGTAATCCTTTCAGGAATCTGTCCAAAACCAGGAGTTCTATGATCTTTTCCATACTGTTGATCTCAGGATGCAGCCACTTCTGTGTCAGATGGATCAAGCTGAACAGTTGTGATCTTGGCGCTTTGTTATCCTGGAACCTCCACTTGTGGAATCCTTGGGGCTTTATAGCTGTAGTCACTCTGGATCCTGCCAGAATCTCAGTTTTCAATGGGGCACAGTCTTTGACAGTTTCCGTTGCCATATCATGGCAGGCCTTCTGAGCCTTTCCACTCAGGAAGGGAGCAAGGATACCGTCCCACTGGTCTTGGGGCAAGGCCTCACATAGGTCTGTTCTTTCAAACGTGAGAAGATAAACCTCAACGTCTCTCTTTGTCATCATCTTTTGTAGGTAACCACTAGCCTTTAAGATAGAGCTCCATCCTGGCCACCTCCTAGAGTAGTCAGGGCCTTCAGTTGTCTGTCTGCTTCCCGTAGGGTGCCTTGGTCTTGTATCACCTGATTCATCAGCAGTTGGTTAGTCTCTTGTTCTATTTGTATCGATTCCTGCTGAGCAGCCATCTGTACTCTGGTAGCCTCCTGTTGTGGTGCAGTGGCCTGCACCAGCATCCTTACCACGTCATCCAATCTCAGGAATGATTCATCTTGCCTCCAGGAGAGTCCGCTGTATGTGATCCCACCCCTAAAACCATATGTGGCAACACACCTTTATCGTCACATCAGCCTCAGCGGTTATGGCGTGGACTGCTCCCTCAGCAAGTTTGCAGATGACACTAAACTGGGGGGAGCGGTAGATACACTGGAGGGTAGGGATAGGATACAGAGGGACCTAGACAAATTAAAGGATTGTGCCAAAAGAAATCTGGTGACTTTCACCAAGGACAAGTGCAGAGTCCTGCACTTAGGACAGAAGAACCCCATGCACTGCTACGGACTAGGGACCGAATGGCTAGGCAGCAGTTCTGCCGAAAAGGACCTGGAAGTTACAGTGGATGAGAAGCTGGATATGAGTCAACAGTGTGTCCTTCTTGCCAAGAAAGCTAATGGCATTTTGGGCTGTATAAGTAGGGGCATTGCCAGCAGATCGAGTGACGTGATCGTTCCCATCTATTCGACATTGGTGAGACCTCATCTGGAGTACTGTGTCCAGTTTTGGGCCCCACACTACAAGAAGGATGTGGAAAAATTGGAAAGCGTCCAGCGGAGGGCAACAAAAATGATTAGGGGACTGAAACACATGACTTATGAGGAGAGGCTGAGGGAACTGGGATTGTTTAGTCTGCAGAAGAGAAGAATGAGGGGGGATTTGATAGCTGTTTTCAACTACCTGAAAGGGGGTTCCAAAGAGGATGGGTCTAGACTGTTCTCAGTGGTAGCAGATGACAGAACAAGGAGTAAGGGTCTTAAGTTGCAGTGGGGGAGGTTTTGGTTGGATATTAGGGAAAACTTTTTCACTAGGAGGGTGGTGAAGCACTGGAATGGGTTACCCAGGGAGGTGGTGGAATCTCCTTCCTTTGAGGTTTTTAAGGTCAGGCTTGATAAAGCCCTGGCTGGGATGATTTAGTTGGGGATTGGTCCTGCTTTGAGCAGGGGGTTGGACTAGATCTCATGAGGTCCCTTCCAACCCTGATACTCTATTATTCTATCCCTCTGGTGGGGAGCAGAGGCCTAGAGTAAATCAGTCCTTCTCCACAGTTTATAATTCTTAACAATGGTTTATTCACAGTTTTCACAAGGTAGGCCTCAGGGTTGTCCCAAGTGGTTTTCTTAACAACCCCCCCCAAAACACACACAAAAAACCATTTCCTTGCTCCCACCAGAGCACTGACACTTATTATACTGGCTCCTGACTGTCAGCCCTTCCCCAAGCAGTAGTAGTAAACTCGGTATTTCCCCAGTGAGAAGGAGAACAGCTCTCCTCCTAGAAGAAACCTATCCTCCAACCCTTCTGCAGCTTGTATCTTGTCCCTACTCCCAGCTCTCTCACCAGAAGAGGTTCTAAAGGTCACAGCAGCCCTTAACTGGGCTCAGGTGTCCCTAATTAACCTGACGTAACCTCTTTTCAGCTCACAGGAAAGAGGGCTTTAACGGGCTGATATACCTGCCTTCAACCACCCTCCCATAGCTGTCAGGTCTGAGTTTGTCACAGTCCAATTTTATGCCAGAATAACTCCATTGGTTTCAATGGAGTTGCATTGGTATAAAACTGGAATAGCGCAGTGGTGATTCAAACCTCAAGGTATGTTCCTCCCCAGTCTGGTTTCCAATACCAGCAACTCAGTTCAACTCAGAGAAAACAGACTCTCCATTGGCTATATGACCAGCGAGTGTATTTTCTGTTATTTTCTCAAGTAGTTTATTTGAATAACCTGAGCTATACACCAGTAGTTGAGATCTCAAGGGTTTTTTGAGGAGTCATATAGTGAAACATAATGCAGCTGTAAGAAAGGTTGTTTAATACACTACACTGTGTAACTTTACATAACATCATTCTCAGTAAAACTGCTGTACAATAAATATTTTAAAATACTCTGGTCGTGATTTCTTAAACTTTATTTAACACATGAAAAGCTTGTACTTAGGGCTTGTCTACACTGACTGGGGGTTTGACGCACAGCGATCAATGCATCAGCCGTCGATTTAGCAGTTCTCTGACCCACTAAACCAACCACCGATCACTTTCTTGTCGACTCCTGTACTCTACCTGAACAAGAAGTGCAAGGGGAGTCGATGGGAGAACATCTCCAGCATAGTGTGGACCCCGCGGTAAGTAGGTCTAAGTACGTCAACTTCAGCTACATTATTCACATAGCTGAAGTTACATAACTTAAATCAATCTCCCCCCATAGTGTAGACAAGGCCTTAATCTATGTCAAGAAGATTGTCTACAGACTTACTTGCTTGGGATCGGATTACACCAGCTCTAATATTAAATGCCTAAAACTTGACAAATTCTGGTTTTTCACCTTTTCTTAAGAGATGCCCTTTAATAAAGCATTTGTGCTTAACAGAAACTCACACATACTTCTAGGCTGCACTAATATGATGCAACTGCCGTATTTATGAAAATGAGGGCTATAGATGCTGCACAATGAGTGGGTGAAACAGAATGCAATGTGGACTTAAAGCCTTTTGTTGCTAAATAGAATTATCAGTATAAAAAGGGAATAACAACTTTTATTACAGAACATCCCTGATAGAAAGACGAAAGGACAAACCGCTTAGTATGGACATATGAGCAACCTCTGTAATTTTTTTTAAAGGTCATGATGGGGGAGGGAGGTGGGAAGGGTGAAGGGAGGGAAAAACCAACCACCACATATGTTTTGTTTAATTCAAATCAATATAAATAACTTCAAACTACAACAAGTTTTTAATTCCCATATCTTTCATGCACCCTCTATGCTCTGCCTTTCCCAAGATTCCTCTTTTTTGAGAGAGCTTCACAGGTTTGTTAGGACAATTTCTGGTAAATAAATCCCGTAAAGATAGGACCATTTTGGGAGAGGAGTTCTCTCAACAAGGAGAAACCGAAGATGTGAAAATTAACAGTTCTTCCTGGTAGATCTTAGAAAGACAGCAGGAGGAAATTTGGGCATCTCATATTGAAAATACTTCTTTCCTTATTTTGTGTCAATGTGCTCCGACCTATAGCCTGTTCCTTCATTTTCCTCCCATTTCAGATGAATCGTAACTACATTATAGGGCTGTCCTAGACCAACCACATTTTATAAGAAAAAGGGATTGTACTACCTTAAAAGAAAAGTTGAACATGTTCATTACTGAAGCTGAAAAACAGCAATGAAAGACGTAATGAAAATAATGTTCTTTAATAATCGAAAAGTGAAAGTGCTGTATTAAAGAACAAATATTTCTCACGCATGCACATTACAGGAAAAGACTACGTTAAAAACCATTTGTTTCCATTGGCTAGCTACTAAAAACACAGCTTAATTATCTACAAGTGTAGATTCTATGTGACTACTGAAGAGTAAATTATATCAAAATCTAATATAATTCTGAAAAACAGTATCATTTTAAAGGCAGCATTAAAAACAGAAAATGAATTCATTCTCATTCAAATGCTTTTGCAGGTTTTGGATTTACTTTCCCCAGGAAGGAAGAACCATTTTAGCAGTACATCTGTCTTATGTGCCAACAAGTTGTAGATCTTTGATCACACAGGAAAATGCCTGAAACAGGAAATCTGATGCTTCACAGATCAGTAATGGGGATCAAGAAAGAAACCACTACACCAAAAGGTTATCTCATACAGGAAACAGTGTTGCTAATACAATGCTAGGATTAAAAAGACAAACAATTGTGGCTTTTTAGTTCACACACAAATTCGCTTTACAATATATTGTAAGTGACTTGTTTACATTGTCAGGCTAACACTTTTCAAACCTATGCCTCACACAGTACTTTAAATAATAACAGCTATACTATTAGCTTTGTACCCTTTGTCAGGATGGATATATATAGTTCTGTATATCTTTTTCCCTTCAGGCTAATCTCAAATCCCAGTCCTGCAGTTGTGTGTGCGCACGGGCGCGGACAGACTGCTGTGCCCATGCACAATGAATTGCAGGATTAGGGTCTAGGTTAACTAAAATTACACAAGTTTAATAATTATTTAGCTAGGCACAACGAAGTTGGAGAATGAACTGCAGACAAAGTTGATGTCACTTAGTTTTAAATATCCTGGTTTCAATTTCAGTCTATGCTGTGGTGCTTCAAATACATTAGCATCTCTATGTACTGATATATTGATCACTGTTAAAATCTTCAGTTTTTACCTTTTGCCTAATTAACATCTGAGTAATGTTTACTGCAACATAGGTTTAGTAGAGTATTGTGAATACTGCCGTATTCCCATCACATGATCAAACCAATATCAATATAAATCAAACAATAAGAAAAATAAACATACCAGATTCTTACTGTCCTGCTTATGAATGGTGACAATTCTACTCTCACTGGAGCCTTCTTGGTTTGCTTGCTTAATGCTGACATCGATTATATCAGGAAAATCACAGTATGTCTGTAATTCCTGTAATAAACGTTGGTTATGATTAATACTAACATAGTAAATGGTTTTTCAAAGTATAATTCAAAATTCTAGAATTCCTACAACCATAGATAAATATTTTCATCACCTTAGGAATGATGACAAATGCAAAACACTGAAGATCAAATAATCACGAAGTGGATGCTGATTTTCACAATGAAAAACACACACACACACACACACGTGCATCCATGACTATGGTAACCGAAGGCACAAATCATAATGGGAGCTAGAAGCATGGGTGAATTTTGACTGGAGTGCAATTCAGGAATTTTTGAAAATTTGGTTCTTTAAATTCTGTCCTCAAACTGAATTCTTAAAATATCTGACTGTCTCACTTTTTCTGTTCTTCCACCAGATGGATAAGGATAGATCAGTCAAAATGTTATACAGGTAATGGCTTTTTTTGTTGGTTGCCTGTAGCATTTTAGATAATATACCTCATTATTATTTGTTATTTCTGTAATTCAAGGGAAATAACAGTCGGATAATAATCTGAGTAAGAATTTCTAGTTTCTGTTATTTACTGCAGCCTTTTTGCAGGTGTATCCATGGTTACACTGGCACAACATGTATTCACCGATGCTCTCCATAAAGATGCTGGGTCAGATTCGCAGCTGGTGTAAATCATCTTGTTACATTAAAGTCAATGGAGTTATGCCCAGTTACCAGAGAAGAATCTGGGCTGGCAAGACCACCTATCACAGCCACTGCATTACCAACACTTCACCAAAATAAAAATAAATAAATAAATAAATAATAAAAAAATCTTGCTCCAAGCAAGTGGTTGAGTAAAGTTTTGTGACGCTGATTTGCTGCAATAGTCAAAGATATAGCTTGCCTTACCTCACTATTAAATTTGAAGACAAATGCAGAAACTGTCCACAGGTAAATGTAGTTAATTACCTTACATTAGGCACAGTTGCCTAATGGTCAGAGCAGAGGACAGGGAGTCTGGTGACATGATTTCTATTCCCATCTGCCCCTGCCTTCCTCTATAGCCTCAAACAAGATACTTAAACTCTTTATGCATTTGTTTCCTCATCTGTAAACTGGGGATAATAATGCTTATTCATCTTGGAAAAAAACTTTGAGAATCTCAGATGAAAAACAATACAAATCCTATTACTCTTGCTATTAAAGGCTTGATTGGCATGCACAAATGGTACAGTTTCATACACAAATTTCAGCATGTGCAAAGTTAGAGGTTGCTTCACAAAAACGTGGCTAAAGAGGATAAATTTTATATATGAATTAATGTACAAAAAGTGATTTTAAAAGGCCTAGTTTTCTATAAAATAACTCCAAACATCATCATTAGAACCATCTCTTGAAGGCTGCTTTTCGCATATGAAGGGTGTCTAGTAGGAACATTTAACAATCATCAAAGTTATACAGATGATAACTATTGGCCCAATTATCCAAACTTTAGTTCAGTCTGCACTGTTTCTAATAAGCACAAAGGAAGAAATATCAAGATATTTGCATATATGTAGTTATATATTTTAATATGCCTGATGATTAAATACCATATCATAAAAGTGCCATTTTACATAATGGGCTGTGATCACTTGTAATCTATCTGTTAACCTCAATTTGTTCTACAAGGTATTTTTCACATTACTGTTTTGATCTAGTCTGTTATCTATCATGAAATGTATATGTATTTTAAAATGTACGGTCATTTATTTATTCATTTTAAAAAAGGAGATCACCTCCAATACTCCTCCTTCAAATTTCCCTTTGAAAAAAAACCAGTTCTATTTAGATTATAAAGAAGGGTTATACTAGAAGGGTTGTTTCATCTATAGTCTGTAAAGTGATGTGTAAGTTTTTAATGCTATAGAAATGTTTCACAATAATATTCTGTTATTTAAAAGCCATGTACAATAAATAAGATATACTCCTGAAATGATACATTGTCTTTGGGATAACAGTGTTCCTGATCTGATCTGGGTACATTGCACATTAGCAATGGAACAGGTGGGGCTTATCAAAGCTAGACTTAGTAATTCCTGACAACCAGTAATTCATTTCCTGCTAGCAACTAGCATCAGATAACGTTAAGTTCAACTGTTGAATATTCAGATGGGAAACAATGTAAAAAACAAACACAAAAGCACCCAGATAACATCAAGAATAAAATGTAACTACATGATTATAACAAATGATTGAATAATTTAGCTTAACTCTTAAATTAGACGGAGCTGTTACTTTCTCATGTCAACTTTTATAATAATCCTGTTTCAGTAGCATGAATGACAGAGAACTTCACTCTTCATTTGTCATCTAAGTACTTTAATTGCTTAGTCAAAAATTATTTCTCTTATAATCTATATTAAAAAATCCACCTAATTTAAAAAGCCTTGTGCTGTTTGGTTCAAGTCAAACCCCATTCAAACAGAAATCACAGTAGAACTATTAAGTCAAAGTCATAATTCATTCTATAGTACTACATGAGAATGAATCAGTACATGTAACATATGACCAAATTACTCTGTTACCATGTCCATTTGCAAAATCCTTAAAATAATAAAAGTGAAGCCATATTCATAAGGATTACCTGTTCTGTCAGTGTCTCACTGTCTTTATGTTTCCCTCTTGAGCACTGAATTCCACCGTTTCCAGTTATTATAATGGTTGCAAAACTCTCTTCACCTCTGCAAGGCTCTTTTACTTCAAAAATCTCTGAATAGAAGGCAGGCTGAAGGGATTCCAGATTTATAAGATATTTAAGTTTCAAGTTTCTGGCAGTAGCTTTGCATTGGCCAAACTGCTGGATAAATTTGCGGAATCTGTACCTTATTCTCTTTCGTGTCAAAATATGGTAGTCTTGGATTTTTGCCCGAACACATTTAGGCAAAAACATCTTGTAACTGTGAACACAAGATTAGCACATAAATTCCAAGGTTTATCTATAAAGCCTAGAAAAGGAAATTATTTCTGTATGCTAAATAAATACAAAGCCAACATAAAAATACTTTATCAAATGAACTACTTACTGTGATTTTAAAATTTATTGTGGTTTTTATTTCAGTCTTCAGTAAAAGTTGTTGAAAATGAAACCACACTTATTGTGCCGTTTTCTATTTTTCATTTACTAGTTCCAAAGTATAGTACATTGTTGTTTCCATAAACCTGGACATTTCTGATTTAGTCATTATTATGTGGGGTTGGGAAGAAGTCCAGTCAGCAAGGATACATTGATAAATTCCCATAGCTATGCCAATGTAGCAAAATCCTGATCTTTCTAGATCATTCAGATTTGTAAATACAGACACAGAACCACATACGTCAAGTTTAAAAAGAAGATAACAAACAATGCAAAACTACACTGTATCATGAACTAAGCCTTGTACTGGGAGGTTGGATTTCTTAACTTTTGAGTACTGGATGTTCTTATAACTTAATGCTCTGTTAACATTTTCTCTGTGTAACTTAAAAGAAAGATGCCAAAATCTAAAAACAATATCAAAACAAGTTTTATTTAATCAGTTACCACTTGTGTCACTGGCTCCAGCAGTATCTTGTTAACTAGGTGATTAAAAATGAAACTATGTTTTAAAAGTTATGACATGAAGAAGTTTAACAAAAGAATGGACACAAAAAAAATGAAATTTTCAAAACCAGACTCACAAGAATGGAAAAAAAGGTGAGAGCAAGAGAACATGTTGTCTAGACAAGAGGTGACCAGCTTAGTCTACAACTCCTGCCTTTGAATTTTTTCCCGTTTCTTGGGATGCAGGCTTCAGATAGCTTCTGCAGCTTTGACTTGAAGTAATTCCAGGCCTCCATAAGTTCTTCAGTCCAATTCACTTCCCTAACTAATTTCCTTCATTTTTGAAAGTCAGCCCTTTTGAAATCAAAAACCCTAGTCGCAGATTTATTTTTGTTTATTTAGTTCCTTCCATTTAGTTTGAAATGAATTAGCTCATGATCACTTGAACCAAGATTGTCCCCTACAACCATTTCTTCTATGAGGTCCTCACTACTCACCAAAACCAAATCTAAAATGGCATCCCCTCTAGTCGCTTCAGCAACTACTTGATGAAGGAATCCATCAGCTATCGCATCTAGGAAAATCTGAGCCCTATTGTTATTACTAGCACTCGTCCTCCAGTCTATCTCTGGGAAGTTAAAGTCTGCCATGATCACGCAGTTTCCATTAGTATTTACTTCATTAAAAACATTAAAGAGGGCTCTATCCATATCCAAATTAGATCCCGGCGGTCTATAGCACACCCCAAGCACGATCACAGGGGAGGCTCTAGTAGTTTTCTTCCCCAGTGTGATTTTTGCCCAGATGGGCTCTGTCTTATCCATTCCATCGCTTCTTATTTCTTTACATTCTACCTCATCATTGATATACAGTGCTACTCCACCACTTTTACCTTTATTTCTGTCTTCCCTAAACAGCACATACCCTTCAATAGCTGTAGTCCAGTCTACTATATAGTACCATGACTACTATTCTATCATGTTTCTGTTATCCCTGTAATATCTGGTTTCACTTCCTGCACCAGTAGCTCTAGTTCCTCCATTTTGTTACCTAGGCTCCTCGCATTGGTGTACAAACATCTTAATTTTTTACTGTTTGGCCTCACTCACATTCTGTAGCCGATTAGGCACGGACATTCTACAGCCAGTATGACCTATTAGACTGGTATCCACACTGCCCTTCCTCCTTATATACATTCTCCTACCCATGGCTGTATCCTTTCTTACTTCGTTTTCTTCCCTCACAATGCTAAAATCCAGCGTGGAGATTACCTGGACATCTCCCAACCATCTCCCCCAAATTCCTAGTTTAAAGCTCTCTTAATCAGTTGTGCCAGCCTCCATCCTAGAAGTCTACTTCCTTCCCTACTCAGATGAAGTCCATCCTGAGAGAACTGTCCTCTGTCCATGAATGCCTCCCTGTGGCCATACATCCCAAAGCCCTCCTTATAGCACCACTGCCTGAGCTATCTGTTGATAGTCATAATCTTGTCACACCTTTGTTGCCCTTCTCTAGGAACAGGCAGAATCCCACTAAAGATCACCTGAGCCTCGATTTCCTTAAGCGTCTTCCCCAGCCTGGCATAGTCTCCCTTGATACGTTCCAGCGAGAATCTACCGGTATCGTTTGTTCCCACATGAAGGACAATCAGTGGATTCTTTCCCACTCCCTTTAGGATCCTTTTCAACCTCAGGTTCACATCCCGTATCTTAGCACCTGGAAGACAGCACACCCTTCTATTCTCTGGATCAGCTCTGGTTAAAGGGAAGGGATAGCTCAGTGGGTTGAGCATTGGCCTGCTAAACCCAGGATTGTGAGTTCAATACTTGAGGGGGCCATTTGGGGCAAAAATTGGGGATTGGTCCTGCTTTGAGCAGGGGGTTGGACTAGATGACCTTCTGAGGTCCCCTCCAACCCTGATATTCTATTCTATTCTACAGGCCTGTCTATTCTTCTCAGTAAGGAGTCCCCAATCACGTAGACCTGCCTTTTCCTGGTGACGGTGCGATTCTCTGGTCTATCCCCTGTTCCCTCTGGCTGCAAGTTCTTTCCATTCCTAATCTCCCTCGTAATCCTCTTCAACCCATCCTGTATCCTCCTGGGGTTCATATTTGGTGTAGTCGCCATTGACTCTTCCCCTTTTCCTATAGGACTAGCCGCTCTTCTCTTCTTCCTTGCCCTTCCACCTTCAGTGACTACTTGCTGAGCCCCTTCTTCATTTTCCAACACCGCCAACCTATTCTTGAGCTCTATTTCTCCTTCACTAGCCCATCTTTTCCTCTGCCTGATTCTCTTAGTCACATGCTTCCACTGTCCATTTTCTTCATCCAGCAGACTCCCATCAGAATTCTTCAGTCCTGCTTCCATCTGTAAGTCTGAGCTTTTCCCTTCAGCTGCCTCAGGTCTTTGCTCCATAAGCCGCTCAAACTCCCTTCTAAACTCAACCAGACTTTCCACCTGCATCGCCAACCCTCGGATCTTTTCTTCCATCAGCTCTATCAGACGGCACTTCATGCAGAAAAAACTCTTTCCAGGTACCCCCTCCAGGATCACGTACATACCACAGCTTCCACATCCAGTCATCCTCATTGTGTCTTCCACGACATGGGTCACGCCCACTGCTGCCTCTGTATCTGTCATAGCCTTCCCACCTAAATCCTGTTAATCTGGGAAACACAAACCACACCAAAACCACCACCACCACCCACAGCAAAAACAAACCCCAAACAAGCACCACAAGTCAAACTCCCCTTTCAAACTCCCACTCAAACTCCCCTGTTTACAGCTCTGTTTGCTGGCTCCTGTGCCGCTGCAGCTGTCTGTTGTAGCAGAGGGGACTTGCTTAGCTGCAGGACCAGCCAAGGAAGAAGGAAACTGGCTACGGACTACAGGGAGATACTTCAGGATTTGGAGGAAAAGCCTAGACTCTTTAGAGGACTCTGACATAAGCCCAAAGAATGTTCAAGAGTGGTAAGGGACATGAGGCAGGGAAGTGCATATACACAGGTTATTGTTGTGTCTAGATCTGTATGCTTCTTGTGCTAGCAAAAGTAAAGAGTGATTCATTTTTGAAAACCTTACAAAGCCTGTGTGTCTGTTTGGTTCAATTATCACAGACGCCTGAAGAGGTAACTGTAAACCCAGAGCTCACACAAGGTCAGAGAGCTGAGGAATCATAGAAGATTAGGGTTGGAAGAGACCTCAGGTGGTCATCTAGTCCAACCCCCTGCTCAAAGCAGGAAGGGTGTGCTTAAGCTACTGGGGAGTCTTGGAGCCTGTGGCAGCTAGGCTGCAAGGTTCCATTTCTGTGAAGGGATAACCGACAGACAGCCAGTGCCCAGAAAGTGTGTCGGGGCAGTTCTGCAGCCTACTCAGACCAAAGGAAGCTTAAGAGCACATAGGCCTAGTGTGTGAGGCTCAAACACAGTAGCTTGGTGACCATCCAGACAGTAGGAGTGCTACCAGGGCTTTGTGACACAAATACATGCATAACAAAAGAGAGACAACCACATTCTTTAGGATCCAATAATGTTACAAGGTTGTGTGAAATTTAAGTCTTTCGTACTTCAGAAGTTCTCTGTTAAAACAAAGAACATTAAAAAAAATTACTTATTTTTCCTGACTTCCCCCTGGAAGCTCAAAGTTACAATGTGTTTGCACATATGTTTGCCTTCAGTTGCACACGCACTTTAGTTATTATTTTAAGATTGTTTATAGGTGAAGTGATTCTTTGGATTAAAAGAGCATAGACAAATATATGTCAAATAAAATAAAGTTAATAGTTACATGGACTTTTCAGATATAAAAAGAAAAAAGTTTTTGAAACCGAAAAACTGCAGACACATGGGAAGTTCTAGAGCAGCGGTTCCCAAATTATGGTCCATGCACCACCAGCAGCCCACAGAACACTTGCCAGAGGTCCACAGAGAACTGGTCACAGTGTTGATTCCTCCTTGTTTCCACCTGCTAAATTTCATTAAAAGACAGCTAAAAATACATTAATTACTTTCCTAATGTTATTTTCTATATAAGCAATGGCTGAAGTTGCAATAAGGACGTTCAAATGCTAACGGAAAGGGAAGTAGTCCATGTGATCACAAGGGTAAGGGGAGGTGGTCATGAGATAATCTCTCTACTAAGCTAAGGTCAACATTATAAATATGTTTGGGAATCTCTGCTCTGGAACAAATCTGTTGCCAAAAATTGTGTGTCTGTCAAGGTGCTAATTGCTTGGGTTACATGAAAGAGAAAGGTAGAGTGAGAAAACAGTAAACTAATGAGTTATCCTTTTACTATATGTAAAAGTAACATTGTTCTGAAGTAAGGAATTACCTGACTGAATTGTAGATAGCCAGGGGAGTTTGGTCCTTTTCTTTGGCCACTCTCATCATATCAAGAACAGCCATTCCAAGGCATTCTTCCTGTGTTTCATGAGTAACAGGCACCTTTACCCATCCATGCACAAAATCATCTCGCCACTGAGAGAGAAAAGAGCACAAGCAAACAGACTGAAAATTTACCTGATCGTGATCTCTCTTTTATAACATTTTTTTTACTGAACATTTTTGTGACTCAATTCTTCTGTACCCAGAACTCTGTGAATCTGTACACTGGTTCCCAGCTACTCTTCACCCCGTGGCAACTCAGCTCTTAAAAGGTTTGTTATCAGCTTATTGCTGAAGTCCCACAAGGTCTGTTCACGAATGGCATGGTCCTATATTTCCAAGCCTGCTCTTCTCAAAAAATGGAGCCTGATCCTTGCTGAGGGGAATAACACGGTGGAGGCATCAAGTCCTTCATCCCTTCCCTCACACTGGATTTTCATTCTCTCATACTGCAGAGGCACGATGTGACCCTGAGTTTTATCTGCATATTTAAGACTGGCCTCTGAGAAATTAAGTCAAGCTTCGTGCGTTATTTCTGTGGGATATCATACACATTCTATGTTTGGATGATGGTGTCAAAAAGCAGTGGCAAAGAGGTAAAAAAAAAACAAAAAACAATCAAGTCATACCTGAGCAAACAGATAAGACATGACAAGGTCATCAACAACAGGGCTCTCTGCACCTCGGGAAACACCATAACGATATGCTCTGCTACTGCCATTACAATACCAGTGAGGAAAATAAAACCTGTTGAGGAACATACACACTGTATAGTTAAGCAAATTTCAACAAAATTAAAGGCTATATCTACTGAAAAAGACCACACATCTTAAATACTATCACTTGGTAAAGTTAAGATTTCTTTTTATGTACAACTCCCTGTAGCAAGATCCTTGGTCCTCTACAAACCTCTTGAGAAGATACAATGAAATATAACTACTTGGGTTATTATAACAATGCCCAAGGAAGACAAGATTATTCTATGCCTAAGTGAACAACCATTACGTGATCCCAAAGAAAACACTCTGGTTATCACGCCATTCAGTTTATTGCAAAGAGGAACAGCGTAGCGATTAGTAAAGTGGTTCTTGCAGAAGTGACACCTGGCTGCTGCAAACATTGTAACTGCTCCCAGTGTGACTAAATCATATCTTAGATTACTAAAAGAAATGTTTGGAACTAGGAGTAGCACTATAAAATTAATGTAACTGCAGAACAGAAAGCTGTATTCTAATCCAACTAATATATCACTAACAAAACTGCCAGTTTTAAATTCTGATTCCTGAATCTCTTTTGCTCATAATATACCACAAAAAACAAAACAAATTGCTTTATTTTTTTGATACTGTACCTGGTCGATCTTACTTTTTCTTGTATGGATGACATTAGTGGAAAATGAACAAAACACTCTAAAAAGAGGTAAGATTTTCAGAATAGCTTTGCTGACCACAACCACATTTTAAATTGGAATTAGCAATATGGTTGAGTATTCTGCTGTGCATCTGTGCAGATTGGTAGTCATTCTTATCTTACTCTTATAATAGAATGGGGAACAAACTAACAGATGCACACAGCAGAAATTTCAATAAAATAATTTCAGTCTACCAGCATAGGGCAAAGTAAGCCATTAAGAGAACATTTTGCATTTCAATTTGCAATTAATTTACCAAAGGGACACCCATGCTAACTTATGCATTTCAAGGAAATAAAAGACTTTTCAGCAGGAAAAATTGTAGATGCACAGCTCAAAAAGTTCACTTTCAAAAGAGATTTTGTTCATTTGATAGATACAAATTCTGCTGTAGATGTCCTGATGATTGGATGGGATAACTTAATTATATCTATAAATCAGCATTTTAGTCAATGAAAGACTTTTTACATTTCAGAACTTCTAATAATTATATTAGCATCATGACTCAAAAACACAAATCCACGAACAAGAAATTTGGCTCTTGTTAGTTGATCATTTATCACAAAACAAATAAATAATAATAATTGGAACTTCCTGTACTTTCAGTACCTTTTTGTTTTTTAACCTGAAGAGGCAAGTATAGTTATCTCCAATACAAAGGCACAAATGATACAATTGATTATTCAATTTACTCAATCCAACATATTTTGTGTGCTTCTTATCAAGTACCTAATAGTTCATACGGAGACTATAATTCAGTTACATTTTACATTATATTGTTTGCTACTGCTTTGTTATTTAGCTTTTTGCATTAAATATGAAAAATAAATCACAATTCTTTTTTAGGTGTTATCTGAGTTGTCATGCTACCTTATTCGGTAGAGTATGTTGAGCCTGGTTGATTCTTCTACGTGGAAGATGTGATTTGGAGGATACCAAATTCTCTCTGTTTCATTCATTAGTGCAAACATGTTATGGTACACAGGCATGATACCTAGTAAAGCAACAGAAAAACAAATGCTTACTGAGAAGTTCCTTATTATGCAGATCACTTTTTTTTAGTAGTAAGAAAACACACCCTTGTAAAAAGTGGTGGACTGATAGTATCTGAGAGTCTTGTTAACTGATTGTCCATAGCACTGGTAGGTCATAGTTTCACTTCAAGTTTCTGCATGCTGCAGTTTATTTTCTGCCTCAGTATCATCTCTTTGTTTCTTTATGCTCCCGGTCTGCTCATTGTACCCACCTGCTGTTATCTCTCACTTTATATCCAGGGCTTGTCTACACATGAAAATTAATCTGGAATACGGTAGGGTGTGAATTTAAAGCAGGTTAACTATTCCTGATTAACTTCATGCATTCCTTAGGCCAGGTCTACACTACCACTTACTTTGGTATAACTTACGTCGCTCAGGGGGTGTGAATAAGTCAACCACCTGAGTGACGTACATTACACTGAACTAAGCGCTGGTGTGGACAGCGCTATGTCAGCGGCAGAACTTCTCCTGCCAACATAGCTACCGCCTCTCATGGGAGATGGATTTATTATGCCGACAGGAGAGCTCTCTTCCACTGCACAGAGCGTCTTCACCAAAGGAGCTACAGCAGCACAGTTGTGTTGGTGCAACTCTACCAATATAGCATTTCTAGTGGAGACTAACCCTTACTCCGATTAACTTAATCCCATGGAGCTAAACAGGAAGAGCTATTCTGGAATAACACCCTGGATCGACAAACCCTTAGATTATAAGGTTTTCAGGGCAAAGACCATCTCCATATGGCTGTACTGTATCTAGCAGAGTGCACTGTATGTGCTACCAGAATAATAAATAATAGTACTTTGTTTTAATTTATTTCTTGTGTTTTTTTCAAAAATTGAACAGACTAATGTATTAGTTTTACACCATTAGGTTTAAAGAATTAAAAGCAGAACAACAAAGAGAATCACCATGACTATTAAGTCCACCTTCCTACACATTCCAGGATTCCAGGTATTAATACGACTGTACTATGACTTATCAATTTAGGAGGACACAGAGGAAGGAAGCTTATGACAAGAGAGCAGAACAAAAAGGGAATGCTTCTGTGACATAGGGACTGTCTCTCATTACAAAGGACCAGTCACGTTCAAAGAAAGCTGACTTGTGGGGGATGGGGGGCGGGGAGAGAGAGAGAGAGACAGACAGACAGACAGGCTCCACGATTCGGCAGTGAAGCCAGAAGACTGATTTCTTGTTTGAATAACTAAAAATATTTTCTAACAAACATAAAAACATGCTTGATATGAGATTTTTATTGGTAAGTGTCGGTAAACATTGATTTCACAGTACACACACAAACTGATGAAAAAATATTTCTATTGATAATAATCGAAATTTACCAGGGTGACCAGATAGCAAGAGTGAAAAAGAGGGACACTTTTTTTTTCAGGAGCAGATATAAGACAAAGCCCCTAATATTGGGACATCTTGTCACCCTAAAAATTACAGATAGGCAGTGTAAGAAAGATGCTGCTTGAGAACTGACTATAGTCAAAATACAATGATTAAACTTTGAATTAGGCTCGTTACAAATGAACTATCGAATGAATGGTAAAAACATATAGGATTTGTTGATTTCAGGATATTTACTTTGTACATTTTAACATATGATGTGAAAAATTGTATTTTTAATGGCTTATAAGGCTTAAAAATTTTGAATCTCAATATTTGTCATTAAAAGTTATTTGATCCCCTCATAATCTTCTACAACTGTGAAAATGTAAATTGATAAAAATTGAAAAAAAAATGCTTAAAAATAAACTCCCCAATCCTCTTTCCCATAAAACAGGGAAAACTAACCAAGACAATGATTCAGCCAAATACTTGAGCACATCTAAATTAGCATGTGACTAGTCCCACTGTGTGATTTTCAGTGGGACTACTCCATTACTTAAAGTTACTATGTCTAAGGCCCAAATCCTGCAAGTTGCTCTTCCTCAAGGATCTCTATCCCTGTGCAGAGCCCCATTTATTTGGGGACATAGTCCCCAAGTCTGTAACTGCATCCACACCAGCAAAACCTTAGGTTTGTTTAGTATTTTTATTTTACTTTTTTTTAAAAAAACAAACCAGTTACTGCCATTAGCTCTTAAATCCTCAACAGTCCCAATTTAAAACCAGAACTGCTCGAAACATTGTTTTGTTGGAATTTGCCAAAGTAGTGAAATCACAATTCTTTGAAGAAGGTTAAATTTTGGCGAAGCTCCACTAGCAAAGCTCGCCTATCTGGCAGGCTGCTGACTAGTCTGGGCTTCCAGGTTCTGCAGCCCTGGAGCAGCACACCAGGAGGACCATCACAGACCCAGGGCTCCATCCCCTCTGGTGGAGGATTTTCAAGTTTTGACTTACATTCCTAATCGTAACAAAACCAATTTGTAAAATAACAAAATCCTCCATGAAACAGAATTGCCTCTTCCTGCCCTGCTCTACTTAAAGAGCTTCCAGTTAGAAAGGGGTAAATACAGAGGATCAGGATCTACATCTCATTTTCTTTCCCCTGCTTCCTGTTTTGGAGCCCTCTCATTCAAATAAATAATCACGTATAAAAAGGCCAGGATTTGTCAGAGCCATTTAGTGGGAACACAAAAATTAACAGACTGGAAGACACACAATAAGGGCTTATAACTGAGCATGGGAAACCGCAAAGAAACACTAGAAACTATCAATACACTAGCCAAAGGAATAAATGTAGATTATCAAATCACTTTGTAGTGCAGCCATGCAATTAAAACAGTAATTTGATAATGTTCTCTGTCTTTTACTATTAGGTTCTGATGTGCTGCCACAACAAAGATTAGAATGCAAGTATTCTAAGTATATCACATTCAATTCTGTAATATTATGCAAAGCTGGCATATTCCAAAACCTGTGTGTTTTAGCTTGCATAATACAAGGAAAATACAAACAAGTTATATTGACAAGGATTGTGAGAGTGCTGGAGAGAGGTAAGGGGTTCACCCTTTTACAGAGCCCCATCTGGTCTTCAAGGAAATGGCACCAGCACTGGCCTTGAGTCCATTCCCCCAGCCACAGGTGGATATATTTACTGAGCAGGAGGCTAAATGGGTCAGCTTGACTCAGGATAAACACTTAAACAAGTATTCTGATACCTGAGGTTTATTAGTAGCCTTGCAACACGCAATAGGTCAAATGATTTGCAAAAAAATACATTTAAAAAAAAACCTCAAACAATTTTTATCTGCTGCTTGAAAATTCTTAGTGACAATGACTAGAAACGCTTTTTTTTTTTAATTGTTCCTCAAAAGTACCATCTGATGAACATGCCAAAATAGAGACAACCACCAACTAATAAGGAAGGTGCAACTATTCTACTAGGACAGAAATGTTCAATGGCTGGCAGAGAAATAAGATAATACAAAAAAGCAGACCTTGCAGAAACAAAGAAATAGCTGAGAGAATAAGGATGATCACTTGTATCATTTGTTATGTTTAACAAAGTGTAAGGTTCACAGATCATTTGATATGACATATAATAAGTGGTGCACGTACATAACATAAAATTAACTGCATTACATAGAGATGATCAGGGTGGATTTGATTTGAATTAAATTGATTTAAATCATGATTTAAATCACTACTCAGGAAGATCAATTTAATCATGGATTTCTACATAAAAGTGCATTCTTGTTGGTTGTTATAACCTTAATACATATTCTTCACAACTCAGAGACAGATGCAAGTTTCATTTTTAGAAGGTACACACTATACATTTTAAAGTGATTTATTTTGAAAACTTTTCAGATTAGTTTTACAGCTATATCAGAAAATGAATGATCGTTTGGTTATTTCATTTACCAAAGGTAATTGAAGCAGATATTTATGAAGTCACTGGGAGGTGAACTATCTCCAGATCAACAGGTTAATTATTAATATTTGGAGGATTTTCTTGCCATGCTGTATTAGGAGAACATCACCAGAAAGACATTTAAATTGTTTTATTTAACTAAAACGACAACATTATGTATTCTGTATTTTTTTCTTCAACAGCAAACATATAATATTTTAATGAATCAAGCATACGAATTTTGAATTTAGTTAAACATTCAAATTTTTTAAAATCAGGTTTGTTTTTGTTCAAATTGTTTTTAACTAAAATAGTTAAATGAAATATTTTTTTTTTAAAAAGATATTAAATCAACTATGTCAGCCAGGTCAACATGAGAAATTTAAAATATTGGCTTCTGCAGCTAAGTCAGTCGTCTTCACCTTCATTTTCCTGTTTATTCATAATCTGGAAAAGAAAAACAAGCTTTCCTGCTTTTTCAGGTCCCAAACGATTTCTCAGTTTGGAATGAATTAGTCCAAAGGAAGAAAATATTCTTCCTACAACGGCAGAAGAAGCTACTGCTGTTAAAAGTGAAATCATCACTTCAACAGTCTCTGAATCCAAGTGCTTAAGTGACTTCCACCAGTTCACTGCTGTGACTTTCTTTAAAACCTCATCAGCAAACATATATTTCTTGAATGGTTCTCATTCCCAAACTGGGTCTCTTTTATGGCCAGCTGCCATTATAGGTTTTCCCTTCTAGTGAGAGAAGGTATGGTAGATCTCAAATCAATGAAGGCTACACTCAGAAAGACCTCAAGACTTCTGGAATATGCTGCTCAAACAGTTTCACTTCTGTTTCTACTGCCTGTCCCCCTCCCTTCTCACATTTATCCCCAGACTTCTTCTCCTTGTCCGGATCTATTCTGCCCCCAAACAATCTTCTATTCATTAAACTTTTTGAAACTTTGCACTTTTAGAGAGGTAAGAGATTGACTCTGTGTACACAAGTTTGCAGAGGGACAATAGGATTGAGGTCTGTTATTTCTCACATCTATATATTATTTATTTAAAAACATTTTTGCTGTTAACAACCATATTATCTCTGTAGACACAAATCCACAGTTGGAGAACTGCAAAACTAAGCATCTCTGGTGGTATCTTCTA